CACCATGGGGATGGGGACAGTGGGGACAGGGACGGTGTCACCATGGGGACAGCACAGGGACAGCGTCACCATGAGGATGGAGATGGGGACGGTGTCACCATGGGGATGGGGACAGTGGGGACAGGGCCAGCAATGGAGGATGTCACCCTAAGGATGGGGACGGTGTCACCACGGGGATGGGGACAGCACAGAGACGTTGTCACCGTGAGGACAGCGTCACCACAGTCCCGATGTCACCATGGGAACACCCCACGGTGCCAACACCAACAGTGCCACCACCACACCACTTCCCCATGTCTCCCTGTGTCCCCAGACGTCCCCCGATGTCCCCGTGGGGGGGTGACAAGGTGACAACAGCCACTCACGCTGCCCGCTGGCCAGGCTGCGGTTGTAGCCGCCGGGGCTGAAGTACTCGAAGACGAAGACGGTGACGGCCACCACCGTCAGGCACATGACGAACATCATCACCCACACGGCCGGGCTGTAGGGCTCTGGGGGGACAGCGGGGACGCGGTGACACCGGGACGGGTGACAAAAGGGGTCCCGGTGTCCCCGTGTCCCGTCCCCGCGCGTCCCCGTACCCAGGAAGGCGGAGGGGGACACGGTGCCGTTGCTGCGGGACACCATGACGCTGATCCCCGTCTCCACGAAGGGCACCGAGAAGTCGATGATCTCGGAGCGCTCCTCGTTGATGGTTAAAGAGCCGATGGCCATGTCTGCCCGGCCGTAGAACACCTGCGGGGTTAATTAATTAATGAGAGGGTTAATTAATTAATGAGGAAGGGGTTAACGAGGTTAATGGTCAATGAGGCAATGGCCATGTTCTCCTGGCCATAGAACACCTGGGTGGTAATTAGTGAGGGGTTAATTAATGAGGGGTTAATTAATGAGGAAGGGGTTAATGAGCCCATGGCCATGTCCGCCTGGCCGTAGAACACCTGCGGGGTTAATTAATTAATGAGAGGGTTAATTAATTAATGAGGAAGGGGTTAATGAGGTTAATGGTCAATGGTCGTGTTTGCCTGGCCATAGAACACCTGGGGGGTAATTAGTGAGGGGGTTAAATTAATGAGGGGGTTAATGAGGAGGGGTTAATTAATGAGGAAGGGGTTAATGAGCCCATGGCCATGTCCGCCTGGCCGTAGAACACCTGCGGGGTTAATTAATTAATGAGAGGGTTAATTAATTAATGAGGAAGGGGTTAATGAGGTTAATGGTCAATGGTCGTGTTTGCCTGGCCATAGAACACCTGGGGGGTAATTAGTGAGGGGGTTAAATTAATGAGGGGGTTAATGAGGAGGGGTTAATTAATGAGGAAGGGGTTAACAGTTAACAAGCCGACCACCATGTCCACCACCTGGGGAGTTCATTAATGAGGGGGTTAATTAATGAGGGGGTTAATGAGGGGGTTAATTAATGAGGGAGTTAATTAATGAGGAAGGGGTTAACAGTTAACAAGCCGACCACCATGTCCACCACCTGGGGAGTTCATTAATGAGGGGGTTAATTAATGAGGGGGTTAATTAATGAGGGGGTTAATGAGGAGGGGGTTAATGGACCACCCCAATTTGGGGTCCCACCTCTCCCCCCATCCCTTTCCACCCCCTCTATGGTCACTGTGGACCCCCAAAACCCCCTCTATGGCCACTGTGGACCCCCAAACCCCCCTCTATGTGCACTGTGGGTGCTCCCCCCATACCCTTGAATATTGGGCTGTGTCCCCCCAATATTTTGGGGTGTCACCCCCCATTTTTGGGGTGCCCACCTCTCCCACCATGCCGTTCCAGACGCCGTCGATCTTCTTGCCGTGCTTGCCGTTGGTCACCAGGTAGAGGTCGTAGGTGAAGCCCACGGCGCGCGCCAGCCGCTTCAGGATGTCGATGCAGAAACCCTTGCAGCAGCGCTTCTCGAAGGGACCCGGCTCCGAGGGGGGGCTGTGGGGACAGGGGACACCCCCCGGGTGACACTGGGGACACCCCAGAGGTGTATGGGACACCCCAAGGGTGTATGGGACACCCCAAGGGTGCTGGGAGCATCCCCAGGGTGGTGGGAGCATCCCTAAGGGTGGCATTGGGGACACCCCCATTGCACTGGGGACACTCTCATGGTGTTGGGGACACCCCCGTGGCATCGGGGACACCCCCAGGGTGGCATTTGGGGCACCCCGGGTGTGTATGGGACACCCCAAGGGTGTATGGGACACCCCAAGGGTGTTTGGGATACCCCAAGGGTGCTGGGAGCATCCCCAGGGTGGTGGGAGCATCCCTAAGGGTGGCACTGGGGACACCCCCTATGGCATTGGGGACACCCTCATGGTATTGGGGATACCCCCATGGCATTGGGGACACCCCCAGGGTGATGCTGGGGACACCTTGAAGGTGTATGGGACACCCCAAGGGTGTTTGGGATACCCCAAGGGTGCTGGGAGCATCCCCAGGGTGGTGGGAGCATCCCTAAGGGTGGCACTGGGGACACCCCCTATGGCATTGGGGACACCCTCATGGTATTGGGGATACCCCCATGGCATTGGGGACACCTCCAGGGTGATGCTAGGGACACCCCAAAAGTGTTTGGGACACCCTTACAGCGATAGGGACACCCCCATGGTGGCACTAAGGACACCCCCATGGCACTAGGGGACACCCCTATGTTGGTGCCCCAGGGTGATGCTGGGGACACCTTGAAGGTGTATGGGACACCCCAAGGGTGTTTGGGATACCCCAAGGGTGCTGGGAGCATCCCCAGGGTGGTGGGAGCATCCCTAAGGGTGGCACTGGGGACACCTCTATGGCCTTGGGGACACCCCCATGGCATCTGGGACATCCCCATGATGGCATTTGGGGGACCCCGGGTGTGTATGGGACACCCCAAGGGTGTATGGGACACCCCAAGGGTGTTTGGGATACCCCAAGGGTGCTGGGAGCATCCCCAGGGTGGTGGGAGCATCCCTAAGGGTGGCACTGGGGACACCTCTATGGTATTGGGGACACCCTCATGTTATTGGGGACACCCCAAAGGTATTTGGGATACCCCCGTGGCATCAGGGACACCCCCAGGGTGGCATTTGGGGGACCCTGGGTGCATATGGGACACCCCAAAGGTGATGGGAGCATCCCCAGGGTGGTACTGGGGACACCCCCTATGGCACTGGGGACACCCTCATGTATTGGGGACACCCTCATGGTATTGGGGATATCCCTGTGGCATTGGGGATACCCCCATGGCCTTGGGGACACCCTCGGGGTGACGCTAGGGACACCCCAAAAGTGTTTGGGACACCCTTACAGCGATAGGGACACCCCCATGGTGGCACTAAGGACACCCCCATGGCACTAGGGGACACCCCTATGTTGGTGGGGACACCCCAGGGGTGTGTGGGACACCCTGAAGGTGTTTCCGACAGCCCAAGGGTGGTGGTAGGGACACCTCGTGGCATTTGAGACACCCCCACGGCGTCACGATGCTGGGGACCCCCCGTGGCGGTGTCACCCACCCGGCGGTGCGGTTGAGCTGGCGGCGGCAGGGCACGGAGTCGCGGATGCAGGTGCCGGTGCTGGGGTCGGTGCCCTCGACGATGACGAAGGGACGCTCCTCCAGCGTGGCCACCCGCAGGTGCTGCCCGTCCTGCACCGGCTGCAGGAACCGCCCGTAGCGCGACCACACCGGGTACTTCATCCGCAGCACGCGGTGCTCCCAGCTGCCCACCTGCGGGGACAACCGGGGGTGACACCGCGTCGCCTACAGGCGGACATGGGGTCACCATGTCCCTGCAGCTGGATATGGGGTCAGAGCCGGATGTGGGGTCACTAGCATGGCCCTACAGCCAGATACGGGGTCACAGCCAGGCACCGTGTCACCAACAAGGACCTACAGTCGGACATGGGGTCACAGCTGGATACGGGGTCACCATAATGGTCCTAC